ATAACAATTGACTTATCATGACCTAGAATGACAGCGCTAACACCAAACCATTATATGTTGTCTCTCACACAAATGGGACATTTGTTAAAGTGTTAAACACATTTCTGAAGATTATTTTAATTTACAATTTTGTTTGCATGCTGTTGTATACTTCCTACTGATGTAATTTATAAATCAGGAATGTGCACTGTTTCGCTATGTTTTGTTTTGTCATTTTTTTTTCTAGTGTAGCATAAATGGACAAAACTAAAAATGTGTTGCAGAATGACAACAAATGAGTCCTACTTTCAGCGACCATGGGTTGAACAGGCATTAAAAAAAACGTATATAGGATCTCAGTCAGATGACATAGTGCCGCGGAGAACAAGACTGCAAAACAGATCCTATCATGACTTTTGTTTTTGGCAAGCTCTTTAATTATCTGTTGCTGTAGTTGTTGACCCGCTTTCAGAAAGTTCATACTTTTTCAGGGGAGAATTGATCATGTGTGCTGCATGTGACATATTGTGTTCATTACTTTGTTTTTATCCTTGTCTAATCTATCGTGCTTCGAGAGCTATTTCATGGTAATTATAGGAAGATGTACGGTGGCTCTCAATTTCTCCCACACACAGGAAAGAACAAGTGTTGGTAACCAGATAAAGATCTGGGGTCTCACTGTGCTCCTCGTGTTCATCGACAAGCGCTGCGCTAGGTGCTAATAACCATAGCATTGTCATCGCTGCTTTCTGTATCCCTGCCGTACAACTATTTTCTTTATAAGCTATGGCAAATAAAGAAACTATGACCAAACAATACAATTACTAACCTTGGATTAGTGCAGTTAAGACGTTTATCAGTGAGTTTAGTTAAGCATGCTAGCACTATGCTATATGCCACGCTTTTTGCTATTTCTGTCAGGGGGCCCTCACCACCCAACCTGCCCCTTACCCTTCATTAAAAGAATAATTATAAGGCATGTCAATCATTGCCTGTCTGAAAACCCCTTGAAGGGGGAAAACATTTGATTTCAACAACTTTAATTTCATAAAAAAATAACGTCTTCTTCACCAAGACCGGCAAACATAGTTATTATGTCATTATGTAAGCATATATATCATTACATAAACACACATATTACTGAATACCTGAGAATTTGCCTTTTGTTTCTTTGATATATAATTATTGGGTTCTCTGTTACTTTGTGTCCTGATGAATCTACTTGCAGGGCCTCGGGGGAAAACATGAGCTGCTGGGACCCATTCATTACACTGTCCAATGAAGACATTTCATCTATAATAACTCAACCCAGAACTACTGTGCGACTTTACAATGAAATACTTTAATTCTGGAATATTACAATTTGTTGCAAACTCAGAGAACTGGAACTAAACCGATTGATTATGACAACGGGACCCTCTTTAAGATAAACAAGTACAGTAAGCACCGGATGCAAATCAGAACCAAGGGCATACCAAGTCAGGGCAGTGAGTATAGGGCCATAACTGCTGCTTAAAACCAGTTTGGGTGCGTTGCTTGTATGCTGCGAGATCCTCCGGCAGTGCACACTGTCTAAACTGCTCCTGCCTTAGACCACTCAGGTAACAGACATATGTCAAAACTTCCCCCCTTAAATCGTTTTGAGTCTATCTCACAGTTGAAGTGTCTCCTGCTTCAGGTTTTGTACTGAAATATTCCAAAATTCTGGTTGGCAATCCGGCCTCTGCAGCATTAATCCTGGAAATAATACCATCATAAACACACACACACACGCTCGCCCACACGTTGAAGCAAGGTCAAAGCCACTGTTGAGCCCTGTGGTCTATTCCTGTCTGTGATTCTATTAGGCTTGGCACCGGATTAGCTTCCCTGATCTCTGCGGCTGATTTGGGTTAGTTACTGTTCCGCCAATCACTTCACACACTCTGTCAACCTGCCGCTGTGAAGGGGAGTCTAGAGAAATGTAACTCCAGAGTGATTCCAACAAAAGACACAGGAAGAAAAGAGAACAAACTTCAGTTGATCCTGCTTTCAGTGTGTGTGTGTGTGTGTGTGTGTGTGTGTGTGTGTGTGTGTGTGTGTGTGTGTGTGTGTGTGTGTGTGTGTGTGTGTGGCCTGTTGTGTAAGAAGGAGATGGATAGAGGCTCTCTGTTTTTCTTTCCTCCTCTCTCTTTCATTGAGGACTAACAGACATGTGTAAACACTGCTGCTTTCCTTTAGCCAATAGACGGACATGTGCCACAGAGAAGTGTACACAGGAGCAGCTGGCTTCACTCTTTAGTAATCTGCTCTGTTATGAAGTGTGAAGGCATGGTGTGAAGTTACCTGTGGCCTCTCAGTGGAACATGGAAACATAGTCCTGCTCAATTCTCTCTCTTTAATTTCAGGCTTTAAGCTACATTTCACCAATTTTACATTTCATTTAACCAGTCACACAGAAAAGTATTTAGAACCTTAAAACGGTAATGTATTCTTGGGCTTTGGATGAGCCATTCATCAAGTGAATTATTTTGGCATGAATACTTTTGATTATACAGCCTGCACTATAAACAGGCCAAGGCCATTCTGAAAGAGGTTTGTGTTCATAAAAGACACCATGGGAAAAGTAGGATTCATTGATAGAGACCATCATTTTTTCAACTTCAAAACAATCCTTAATGTCTTGGATGACAGCTCTGTCGTAGTGATGTGCTGAGCAGATTCAACCAATAGTCTTTAAGTTTTAAGGCGGTGCAACAATATCTCAAGGCTTTGACCTCCCTTTTGCACAGAGTCTCATTGCTGTCAGTGATCATGCCCATGGCGGCTGTCGTCAGCAAGCTTCACAATTGTGTTAGAGTTGTGTGTGGTCACGTAGTGGTGTGTGAAACAGGAGAAGAAAAGAGGGCTAAGCACGCAGCCGTGAGGGGCTCCAATGTTAAAGGGTCACAGTGGAAATGTGATGTTACCCGCCTGCAATGCCTGGGGTCGGCCCGTCAGGACATTGAGGGCAATTAGGTGGTAGTTGTTGAGATCTTGTGTTTGTGGGGACTGAAACGATCATGGTGGACTGTTTAAACTGTTTAAACTGGAGCAGTGTCATTTCCAAAAGTTCACACACCTGCCTGTCTAAAACAGAAGGGCAGGAAACCTGGGCTTTCTGTACTTCAGCAGCCTGTGAGCTCTCCAAACGTGCATAACAATTGTTCCGTTAATGTCTGTACCGTAATCCGTAGCATGATGTCATCGGGCACCAGTAGAGAGACATCTGAGCAACACTTTAAATGACCACGAAGCAGACACCACCTCCCTTACTTTTCAATACTGGGCAATCTTATACTCAATTGCGTGCATCATTAAGGCCTTACACAAATCGTAGAAAACATTTGCAATGCCAATTCTCTTTCATAATTGTATTAGGTAACACAAGTACAACTTAATTAGCATTGACTTGAACCAGAGACAATAGTTTATGTAGTTTATGGATGGTGTCCAAACCCATAAACCAGATTATTTCAGGCTTTTGAAATCTCTTTTGTTCACAGCTACATATTTCCCACAGTCTACATTTTCCTTGCCCTTTGCTTGTGCATGACTGCATTTCTTGGCATGTTGTAAATCAGTGTGATAATGGAAAAGCATTGGCAGGAAAGTGTATTGTATTCGTTGTACTATATTATGTTTTATATATTTGTTTTATCTAACTAAGACAATAGGGAACTTAATTATCATTTCACTATTACTCAATAGAAATGTTGTTGCTTGCTCTCCTACAATGGCCCATTACTGTACCATGTCACAAAGGACTTTTAAGGATGAAATAGGGGGCAAGGTTTGAAAACGCTTTCAACTTCTCAATATTTGTTGCAGAGCTCACATTTTTGGAACAATTATTTGAGAGTATAAATGGTCCACAAGTTGTGTAATTGGATCGCGCACTGGTGATATTGTTCATATATTTAGAGAATCCACAAAAATATTCTCTGTTTCTTCTCTCCGTGCTTTATGTGGTCGACCTCGCAAGGTGTGTGTTCTGGTCTGTCAGCTGAAGGAATGTGTACCTGTGTGCACTCTGTGCTGGAAATATACTGTATACACACAGAGGCCCACACACTTCCCCTTCCCGTCACTTTCATTCTCTTAATTGCAAACATGAACATGCGCCACACCAAAGACGCTCGCTTGCTTGTGCAACCACAAATGTACACAAACTAGTTTGCTTAAGGGATAATGCCGATGACTCACCTGGCTGCAGACGGCCAAATATTCAGAGGGTAATTCACTGTTATGATTGGAATTTTGCCCATCCCTTCACTTATCTTACCCTAACACCTGGGGGGTGAAAACAGAGAAAGGCAGGAAGAAGACAAGTCCGATCGTATAAACAGCCTCCATCAGAAAGTTAGATTTAAAATGTACTCTATTTAAAATGTGGTGTTAAGAGGTAAATAGGTAAGACATTGTAACTTAAAGACATCTCAATGAAACTAACCCAGTTGATCACTTACAGTAAGACCCTTGTATTTTTTTATTACACATCTTCTCAAATGGAATGCTAAATATGCTATGTGGTATTACAGTATGTAATGCTAACTTTTTGTGAATTTAGAAAAGATCTACAGAGACAAAAAGATAAAAAATAGTCAAATAAAACCTAAATGTGGCTCGCCTTAAGAATCATCACTTCTAACACCTCTTCCCAGAGGAAGTGGATAATAGCACAGCTTAGTGAAGTAATAACTATAAACTCACATGAGTATTATAATATTATCAAATAAGAAACATCTAGTCTGGCCTCTTCTTACAAAACCAGCACCTTTTAGTAACAAATTATATCTTGTTTGTTGA